ATGAGAGAGGATATAAATCACCCGCCACTGACCCAAAGGGCACATACCGCGTTCCATCAGGTATGGGCCATCGTGCTCAAAAACAAAAATAAGTGTAGTTTTAGTAACTGGTCCATCATTAACGAATGAAAATAAAAAGCTGCTAAAAGCTGGTAAAAAAAGCAGTGGACACAAATAGTAGAAGGGTTTGTGCGGCTCTAGTGCGGAAATCTGACTGGTGACTCTTGATCTTAATACGGTAGAAATTACCGTAAAAGAAAAGAGGTGGGCCAAAGAGAATCGTACAGAAAGAGCGCGAGCTCTGCCTATACGATTAGCACGCAGTGCAAACTTAGGTTTCTTAGCTGTTTATTTTGACTTTTTTTTTATCAAAAGTGGACCAAACAGAAAATTTGCTCCATTTTCGGGACACAAGAACACGGCCCAATTTGTCCGCGGAATATGCCCCTGATCTTTTATGGACGGGTGCGCCAAGCACTCGTTTTACCTTTAGAACCATAAGCAGACCTGTTGTGGAACGCTACGAAGAACAACCATCAAACTAGCGTGTTTAAACCATTGCAAACCGCGTGCGTCTCGCCGTCACTCGAGAAGAGTCATTTTATTTGATTTATTTCGCTTTTTATGCTTCAATATTGCCAAAGTACATCTCCAGACCCGAAAAACAGCAGTATATATTACTATCGATAAATCTGTTGACAAATTGCTTATTATTGATGAAAAATGGCGAAAAGTTGGGCAAATTCACGCAGTGAGGTGGGACCCATTCACTAAGCTTCTAAATAGTCTTTTGTCATTTGCCACCTCCCCTGTGAACGTAGAATTTGGTTCATCTGCGTCCCAGACGAATGAAGAATTCAGTTTATCTGAACGGGTTTCGAGCCCACGATGGTGCACGTGTGAAAGAGCTGTGGGTGGGAACAATGTACACTATGAAAATAATCATTTTATAGGCTCAAAATTCGGGTGTGCTCTTTTGTTTTTTACCTCTTTGAAAAAAGCCGAAATTTAAAATTTCCACATTACTTCCACGCAAAGTTAGACCATCATGAGACTTCGAAACAGAACAGATCCTAAAATGTGTAGTTCTAATTTTACTGAATAGAAATTGTGGAACGATTTTACCACGTTGAAATTGATAATTTCATAATGAATGACAATTGAGAAGAAATGATAGAAATATTTAGTGAAAGCTATCGTCGTGGATTTCAGACCTTCGGTTCTCCTCTCAGGTTATGTCACCGGAGATGTGCAATCATCAAAGCTAAGGTTGTGCTCTGGCTTAAACTGAGGTTGAGCTTAGGCTCATGCTTACACATTAGCTTATGCTTAAGCCTATGGTTGGGCTCTAGGCTTAGTCCTAGGCTTGCTTCGAGCAAATGAGTGGTGTCTCAGTTTTAGGTGACC